CCTCTTTTTCCTTCCTTTAAAGCACCTATGTAAACATATTTTCTAAAAAAAGCTAAAGGAGTAAAGTGGGTCACTTGATTAAGTAGCTTTCACTCTGTGTGCAAAATGTTTGTGAATAATAAACCTACAATAAAGGAAGTCTCAAAAACCATGATGTTCACCTTCACCAACATAATGAAAATATGTTTAACAGCATATTTGCTGAATACGTCTGTAGGTGCTACTGAGACCATTTATAAATATAAACGTGCCGATTTTCTCATTAAGGACCAATTAACTGTTAACTATAAATAGTTGAGAGCTTTAAGCTAAACTCTATCTGTGGAAACCATGGCTTCAACCTTTTTCATAGTCAAAAACAACCATTTTAAAAGTGTTTCTGTTTTTTCATCCACCCTCTGAATCCAGTTTAACTACTGTATGAAAAACTGAACTGGGAATTGTATTCACCATTGACAACACCCACTCCTACACTGCTACGTCGGGTACTCATGGGTAACACATGGAACCACTCGTCTGTCTTGGAGTTGTACGCCTCGACTGTCGACAGACCTGGAAACACAGAGCATGAATCAAAACCACCATGAACAATCAACTAGTTTAGAATTCTCTGTTCTTACACATTTAAAGTCTGTTAAAAACAACACATCCACATATCAACACGGGCAGATCTAGAAAACTTTGGATGGGGTGGCCAGGCTGGGGCACAGACTCACATTTGAAATACATGTAAAAAGTAAATGAAACCCCTATTTCTACAAAATAATAATCGCTGCTGCACAGTGCCCCACAAATTGCCAAGTACTCCACAACAACACAATTGGAGAAATGAGTGCAAATATCAAGCTGGATGAATGATATAAAATGAAACTTATTTGACCAATGTCAATTATAATGTGCCAGAAAAATGTTTGTTGTATTTTATTCATTAATACTGACAAGCATTCCATTTTGACTCTGGCAGGGTGGCCAGTCAGATTCTGGGAGTGACCAGTGCCACCACTAGCCTGCTCCAATATATCTACACATTCGTACCCGTGCTGCCATCGAAGCCTCCGACAGCGTAGAGGAGTCCGTTGAGCACAGCAGCACCAAGCGTCGATCGACGGTCCTGCATGCTGCTCACGCTCGTCCAGCGGTCCATCATTGGGTCGTAACAGTCAACTGTCCTCACACGCAAAGAACCGTTGAAACCGCCAACCGCGTACACACACCCACCCATGTACACCACACCTGACACACAGCAACAAAACATTAAACATAAACACAAAAATCTACAGTGTCACACACAGTCAGCCTGGTTCAGTAAAGGTGAATGTTGAAGTAGCCTCAGAGTGGAAATGCTGCTTCAGGATGACACAAACTGCCATTACGTTTTCTCTTGTGGCTGCAATGAAGAAGAACGGAAAAGACTGAAAGAAGCCTGAACTGAATGTAGAGTGCATGCTTGCTGATGAACAACCTGAAACAAACCAATAAACTTCCTCCAGGTGTACAGTATCTGTGGGTGTAGCCTACATGGTAGAAGCAGGCAGGGGGCATGGTCCAGTAAACGAATGAAGATGCCTGTAATAATCAGCTCATAGCCAACTTTAAATGTGAACAGATACTCCCTAGTGGCTTCAGAATAAAGTCATTTTCAGCTTTTCCCGTTTAGGGGTCGCCACAGCGAATCGTCACACTGACAACTCGCATGTTGACATTTGGCACGTGTTTTATGCTGGATGCCCTTCCTGACGCAACCTGGATTCAAACGGCACATAGATTTTAAATTTGGATCTCCTTGTAGCCAAGATATAACCTTGGAGCAACACATTTATTAATTTATTTTTATTTAACCTTAATTTTACCAGGAAGTCCCATTGAGATCAAGGTCTCTGGCCAAGAGGGCACCCATACAAATGTACATCTAATTATGAATGCCACCAGGTTATGTCAAAAAGAGAGAAGTTACTACAGTCTGTAGCTGTGTCCTAATAAAAGATGCACTCCTAGCCTGAATACAGCAATGGGCTGACAAGGCCTGCTCCAATTTTATAGCCTGGATATGGAGGGCATATCCAGTGTATTTCTGCAGCCCTCAGCATCCTACACTCTACTAATTTGGTAATATAGTGTTCTGCTGAAACTCATCAACTCATCCATCCATCCATCCATCCATTTTCCTCCGCTTATCCAGGACCAGGTCGCGGGGGCAGCAGTCTAAGCAAAGATGCCCAGACTTCCCTCTCTCCAGACACTTCCTCCAGCTCCTCCGGGGGAATGCGGAGGCGTTCCCAGGACAGCCGAGAGACATTGTCCCTCCAGTGTGTCCTGGGTCTTCCTGGGGCCTCCTCCCGGTGGGACATGCCCGGAACACCTCCCTAGGAAGGCGCCCAGGAGGCATCCGAAACAGATGCCCGAGCCACCTCAGCTGGCTCCTCTCGATGTGGAGGAGCAGCGGTTCTACTCTGAGCTCCTCCCGGGTGACCGAGCTCCTCACCCTATCTCTAAGGGTGCGCCCGGCCCCCCTGCGGAGAAAGCTCATTTCGGCCGCCTGTATCCGGGATCTTGCCC